CACCTTCTCATTTTGAGAATGGCACATGGAACACGGGAGGTGGGTGCAATAGAACTCGACCGATAACAAAAGAAGAAGTTGTCGGGAGGGAATCGGATTTGGAATTCAAGAAAATTCAAGTGGAACAAATTGAAATGGCAAGAAAAATAGGAGATTATAGAGGGAATAGGTTTGAAATTCTTGATATTACAGAAGTTATGGTGATTAGACCAGATGGGCACCCTGGAATATACTGGGGGAACCAATGGATGAAGGGTTACAGTGACTGCATCCATTGGTGCCTGCCTGGCCCCATTGACACATGGAATGAACTTTTGTTGGAGATGATCCAGAGATAATTTTTTTCCTTCAATTAAAATTTCAAAATTCTATTTCAATGTAAAAGCTCATTTTTATTTTTACATAAAAGAAACAACATGTGCATCTTCTTTTTGCTAGAAACTCCAATATTTTCTTGAGATGCTCCTCTATTTAAACCTTTGGTGCAAAGTGCTAAGTTGGACTAGACTATACAATAAATAGGATTTAACTTTTTTTTTCTTCTCAAATACTGTATAGCGTTATTTAGTTTAATCTTCATACAAAACATACTCTGCAGATAAAGCTTTCAGATGACGGGCATGTTCTCCTGCTCACGGTGGGAAGTCTTATTATGTTCGAAGAGAACCCAACGTTGAGTTCTACTGCCACATAAGTAGGTTGGCAGTCTTATTCTGCCATCGTTGGCAGGAGAACAATTCCATCAGAATTGAACTTCAAATTTTGATCATATCAAAAGATTCTCGTTCTTGAAAATCCATACTTTTCCAAGTCCAAAAAACGGATGGGATTCAAGAATTGAAGTGTTCAGATTGTCAATGCCATTAAATAAGGGTGGCAATGGCTTGTTCGTCCCGGCCTTTTAGTAAATATGGCGAGACCGGTCCCTATTTTCAGAAGTTGGGGCCATAGGCCATGTTTTCTTCTTTGACGACCTGCATGGCTTATAACCGTGTACCCATCCCGACCGCGACAGGCCCATAAAACATATTATATTGTTTCCAAGAATATTCTACTTCCACTTCCTGTTCAAATCTCCAAACAGTTACCAATGATATCGATATGTCAACATTTGAATAATAAAGTGCATAAAACTACTAATAACAAATAGTCGATGTCTCTAAGATCCTGTTAGGCTCCCATTTTAATTTTTTTTTTAAAGAAAAATAATTTTTAATTATATATTTTATGAAACTCACAACTAAATAAAGGCTAATTATCATGATGGGACAGGGTGAGTTAAAGTCCTGAGAGTTGGTATAAATTCATAAATTAGGCCATGATTGATGGCGAGAAAATCATGGCGGTCCAGACCAGGATCAAAACTGAGAGAAAATTCAATGGCATCAGCATCACACTACAGCTGAAATCAAATGTTGACGTGTTATGTAGCTTCACTATTTTTCTTTTTAACCATTTTTCTCAATTTCTACACCCTTTAGACC